ACCCTATGAAATCCTCGTTAAAAGTGTGTACTGTCACATACGAATGCCACAATGTTGGACTACATCCACAAACAGTACTCGCCTGAGTCCTAAGCATCCCAAATGTGTAGAGTGTAGTCGTACGCAGTATTATGTGGCTCACGAACTAACACACTCGGAGTGTTGTCGCCCGCAATATCATGCGGTGCACGGACAAACACACTTAACCACCTAAACAAAGATGCACCACGGAGTGTAGTCACCCACAATCTCTTGCGGTACATGGACTAACACACTCAGAGTGTAGTCGCCCGCGTTCTCATGTGGTGCACAGACTAACGCACTCAAGCATCCAAAACTATTGTAAACCAAAGCAATCGTCACTCCCTATTGTGACAAATACAAAACATTCGACTACGCACTCCCAAAGGCCCGTGCGTGCTTAAACCCAAAATGTGTACTCCCATGGTCATGCACGTGTATCGACGTGCAGCTCGTACTTTGTGTTTACGACCAAACGTGCATAGAAGATCAACATATGCAGAAGAACACCAGATCAATCGACTGCCCTTGAGGATAAGTCGAATGACATTCGATCAGTCGATTGATATCTCATCAGTCGACCGAGCAGCAAATGTGCACAACTAACAAGTCTCGACCGCTTAACAGTAATTCCGATGGTGAACAGTAATTCCATCGGTGAACAATAATTCTGACATTTTAGCCGTTCAGATCATGTCTTTTCTTCATTTAGGGATTGGATATAAAGTTCTATTCATCAATTTAGAGTTTAATTCATCAAAATTAAAACTAATTGGGATGGGATGGGAAATAGATGAACTTGCCTTTAGAAGAGGTTTTAATCTCTCAAATGGTAGATTCGTACAAAATTCATTCATAAAAGTTCCTCTAGAACTTTGCTTCACAATTTTTTTTCCAAATTCCAACGAAATTTTTTTGGGTTTTTAAGAGGGGGAAAGGCGGTTGTTGTTTCACGCGAGCGAGAAAGAAAAGGAGAGAGAGAGAGAGAGAGAAAAGAGAAATATATATATATATATATATATATATAGGATGTTTTTGCAAAAATCCCTCCGCTACAGCTGTTTCTCATCCTCCGCTCATTTATTTAAAAGAAATCTCATTCTCTCTTTCTCTCACTTCATTAAAATCCCCAAATCCATAACAGCCTCTCCCCCCAAAAGCCGATCTCAAAACCCTACACCTCTCTTGCTCTCGCCGCCGACCCGACTAAGTGCCGACGATGTCTCGCTGATCCCATTCTCTCTCTCACTCCGACCGCAGCCGACCCGACAAAGCCCAGTGGCCGACGACCCGACGACCTCTCGTGCTCAACTATCGCCGACAACCCGACGAAAAACCCAACTCTCGCCGCCGATGGGATCAGGACTGCTGATCTCCCTCAAGCCCCCAAAACGAGAATCCGACGCTGTAGCTTCAGATCTCCCTCAACCCGACGACCTCTCGTTCCTGTTCAGCTATAAAATTTTCTAAAAGCTCAATTCGATTTTAAATAATTTCAGTTCGATTGGATTTTAGACTATCTCGGTATGAGCCAGTCAAAACAAAATTTTTAGGAATTTTTCGGTTTTTGCTGCAATTAGGATCTGTTATTGATTTAGGAATTTTTCTCAATACCCAAAAATATAATCTCTGCGATTAGGATCTGTTATCTGTATTATGTCAAGGTCTGCTGATATCTGTATTACCCCTTTGCCATTTTTGGCAGACCAGTATTTTGGACAACAACAACTGCTTGGCATTTGGAAGTTATAACGTGGAAGTCATAACATGGATTTTTAGGAATTTTTTGGTTTTTGCTGCAATTAGGATCTGTTATTGAAATTAATTTGAAAACATGAATTATTAATTTGATAACATGACATGTAATTTCAGATTTGATATGAATTATTAATTTGATAACATGACATGTAACAAATAGCATGGTTAATACATTGACAGAAAAATAGAACTTGCTTAGATCAGAATCATTTGTTCAGAGAATAATGTTTGATTTTACACTCTAACGAGTATAATTGTCCAGAGATGTACTAAAGACATTTACAAGTAGCTAACAGAACAACTTGAATTATAAATTTAGCCTATGTGTCTTTCCAGCACATGTTCATGTTAAATTGTTCAAATTTGGCAGATTGAAATGGCTTCATCATCAACTGTGGAAAGTAACTCATGTGTTGAAGTGGATATTAGATTCATATTGAAACAATGCGAGTGTGGTGAAATAGCGGATGTGAAGATAACGAAGTCGAACAAGAACAATAACTGTGGTAGAATTTACTAGTGTAAAAGGCAAAAGTGCGGTTCATTTTTGGGCTGGTGCAAGATTTCATCAGTTGAACAAATACCACTCGACCCGACCCCACCAGTGGCGCGTGACTTGGTTGTTGTATGTGAAAAGGTGTTGTGGAAATGGCTAACTGTTATAGCTTTTTTGTTGTCTTTTTGTTTGGCCATGAAAGAAATTATGTGATGTAACACTATGTACTTTTAACCTTTGTGTTGGAATGAAATTATGTGTTTTGGGGAAGTTTTTGTAATCAATTGGGGAAGTTTATGCAAGAACAAAATTCTGAAGTATGCTGGTTAACTGCATGATGGCCTAATACCTTAGGATATTACCTATCTGAGAGGTGCTTGGCTTGGGGAGAATATTAGGGGGAGGAGGAGGGTGTATAGGCTGACAATTCAGATCCAGAAGAGAGCATTGGGGTACTTATTTCTAATCAATAGGGTAAGTTTTGGTAAGAACAAAATTCTGAAGTATGCTGGTTAACTGGAAGCATCTAATTACTACAGTAGCAAACATGATATGAGGATATAAACACTTATGATTTGGAAGATCACCAAGTGTTCTATGCTTTTGTGCTGGTGAAAATGTTCTTTCTTTTTCTTTCTTTCTAACTTTTTCCTGCAATAACAAAGTGTTTGCTGTCAGCTGCAGAGTTCAGCAGCTATGCCGGCATTCTGCAAAGGTTTCTTCGGTGAGTTATTTGACGCCGAGGAGGAGTCAGAGTGGGAAGAGGGTGAGCTTTAGGCTACCGGAGGATGCCGACATACATGTTTATGATTGTGATGATGAGAAAAAGGACATAGAGTTGATGTCGTAGTGTTGAGTGGCTATAGCTTGTGCTTTTCTTGTCCTCTATGAGAAATGAAGCTCTGTATAAAAGACTTTTGAAGTGAATAAGCTCTTCAAAGACTTTTAGATCACTATATTTTGTCATGTTATTGTCAGTTTCCATAACGAAATCACTATACTTTAACTGAATAATAAAAGAAAACAGATAAAACAGAACAATCAATGGTTTAACTAAATAATCAAAGAAAACAGATAAAACTTTTCTCTCCTGTCTCAAGACCATATTCCCATTGACCAATATAGATCATGCAGATTATACACAAAAAATTATATTACTTAAATTTGTAACTTTGAAATTTGTTGAAAATACAGGACCATATGCATGCAGCAAATGCAGAGGAATAGGAGACAGTCCAGCTGACAGCATTATCAAGAAGTCTGACAGTAAACCAATAAAAGTTATATCATTAGAGGTCCAAAACCAACAAATTTATATTTTGTCCTCGAAGAACAACATTATCAAGCCAGTGCAGTCAGATGACAACACACTTGCAGAGAATAATATCCAACAACAAATCTTACATAAGCAACATGTTTAATAATTTAGAATCAGTTGCAGCTGCAGCTTCTAAGGTCACAACCAACAACAAATCTTCCTAAGTGCAGCATACATCACAACCAACAACAAATCTTCCTAAGTGCAGCATACATCACAATAAACAAAGACTGAACATTTTGAAACATTTTGACAATAGTCCTTACAATCCTTACAATAATCCAAAGTGCAAATAACTCAAAATAGTCCCCACATTTTGAAGTTTCCATCAACAGCTTTTCAACCACTTCTCTCTGCCCATAACAGCTTTGGATACTTGAACCCTGTACAATAAATATACACTTTAAGGACAAAACTAAACAAATAAATATGAAACAACCATAGCATGTATGTTTCATTATGATGTGCACAACTTCACAAATATAAAGGGGCTTACCTTACCTCTTGTTAAAACAGATTTCTGCACCACTCCTCGGGTTCATTCAAAAAGATTCACATCATCCTCATCTTCACTTGATATCTCATTACCCTCTTGCAAATTCACATCAACGTATGTAGAAGACCTACATTATATTAATAAATATATAAATACATCAAGAGGGATACTAGAATGTGAAAAATAAAAAACAAAAAGAATAGAAGAATTATTACTTATGGATTTGTGAGTGCCAGACAATTTTGTTTATCATGTGATTGGCCTACTTTTCCACACCCGTGACAACGTCTCTCTCTTTTATTTTTGATTCTAGCCATTGCTTTCTCTTTTCCTCCTTTCAACCTTTTGCCGCACCCCTTTGCTCGCACTTGATTGGCTTCATTGAAACTACTTTGAAAAGTGCAAGAACCATGCGCACTTGTACCATCACCATCACCTATCATATTACTACCTATTGAATTACTTTTCTCAGTGAAGCTCATTACAGCCATGCGGCTACTAAGAAATTGACTTATTTGCTCATTAATGCTTCGCAACCCATCGGTAAACATCGTCCTTGTTTCTTCACATACGAGGGACTTGTCAACTAAATCCAAAGATGATTGGATAAATTGACTTCGCGTTAAAAAATAAGAATTGTCAGAGGTTATCTGCATGCCTTTATTATCAACCACTGTCCCTGATTTTGCAGACTTAGTCCACCTCTTTAAGATGTATTTATCGGGCAATATTTCAGCATCAAACTTCATCAAATATGAGATAATGTGCGTACATGGGAACACTTCAGCCTCAAACTTATAATACATCTCATTCGTGTAAATATCAACCATTTGCTCCAAAAAGTCATGATTTATTCTAAGTTTAGGTTTCTCAATTACATCTTTGTGATCGGCCATCAACTCCTCGTGACGTTAGCGCACTAGTCCCCTACCAAACTGAATCATGAAATCCACCAATGAATTATTCTTCGAAACAGATTTCTTGAAAAATGCATGTTCACTTTCTGCTCGTTGACTACTTGACATGTCAGCTGAGAATACGTGATTAACATATGCTGGAATCCATCTTGACCGAAGTTCATATTGGTCTTGCAACCATTTGTTTCCTTCTAACCCACTCTTCTTAATCAGACTTTCCCATTGTAAATCAAATTCTTCAGGAGTCTCTGATTTCCAAATGCAAGCCGAAAACTCACTCTTATAAATACTATATTTCACTGCATCAATTTTCTCAGAAAACTTCATTAATATATGCCAACTACAATACCGGTCAAAAGAAATTTCAAAAGTGTTAAAAAAAGACAATGTACATAAATATTATTTGGAAGAAAGACAATGTATACAAACTATATTACCTGTGAAAAGTATTTGGAAGAACAAGAGGGAATGCCTTAGTCATAGCTGGATCTTGATCGGTAATAATCATCTTCGGGGCACCACCAGGCATACTTGCCAAAAACTGATTAAATAACCATACAAAATCATCAACGCTCTCATGATTTAAAAATCCACAAGCAAAAAGGATTGTCTGACCATGATTGTTAACCCCCATTATTGGTGCAAATATTAGGCCATATCGATTAGTGTTATAAGTGGTATCAAAGATTACAACATCACCGAAAAAATTGTAAGCCCGCCTTGAAGTTGCATCGGACCAAAAACAACGAGTAATCTTTTGTTCCTCATCGGCCTCAATTTGAAAAGTAAACGAGGGATTCTTTCCTTGTTCCAATTTTAAATACTCATAAAACATTTCACCATCATGCCCTTTCAAATCAGCACGTATATCTCTTTCATGATTATACAAATCTCTTTGAGTGCACCCAATATTTTCTATGCCTCCAGATTGTACTCCAAGAAAACTAAATTGTTGATGCTGAGGTATATTCACCATGGAGAACTGTTGACTTAAAGACTTTGTTGCGGCTAAAACGTTACGGTGGGACCTTAAAAGATGAACCTTTGATGGTGTTGATAGAGAGTGGTTGTGCTCCTCATTAAAAACAGTAACAATGTATTTTCCGGAGTTTGATTTTAAAACTGCAATTTTGGCATGACAATCCTCTGCTAAGCTTCCTCGACGTCTTTTATTTCCAACATCCGCGATTCTTGAAGATTTTCCTTGTTTAAAACAAACATACTCCTTCCTTCTTATTTCACCACTTCCCGGCTCTTTCTGAGTAGTCCAAGCCCTTACACTAAACCCAGCTGCTTTTGCATAAGCATTGTAGAATGTCACAACATCATCAATTGTGTCAAATTCTTACCCATTTTGTGGCCTCAACTCATCTGATACTTGAGGAGTATATATCGAGCTATCGTCATTCAAGTTTTCCATTTCTCAAAAAAAAATTGTAATTGACCTATATAAAATGCATATAATATCAAATTTCGAACCAAATGTTATCAAATTAATAATTCATATCAAATCTGAAATTACATGTCATGTTATCAATTTAATAATTTATTTTATCAAATTAATTTCAATAACAGATCCTAATTGCAGCAAAAACCAAAAAAATCCTAAAAATACACGTTATGACTTCCACGTTATGACTTCCAAAAGCCAAGCAGTTATTGTTGTCCAAAATACTGGTATGCCAAAAATGGCAAAGGGGTAATACAGATATCAGCAAACCTTGACATAATACAGATAACAGATCCTAATCGCAGAGATTATATTTTTGGGTATTGAGAAAAATTCCTAAATCAATAACAGATCCTAATTGCAGCAAAAACCGAAAAATTCCTAAAAATTTTGTTTTGACTGGCTCATACCGAGATAGTCTAAAATCCAATCGAACTGAAATTATTTAAAATCGAATTGAGCTTTTAGAAAATTTTACAGCTGAACAGGAACGAGAGGTCGTCGGGTTGAGGGAGATCTGAAGCTACAGCGTCGGATTCTCGTTTTGGGGGCTTGAGGGAGATCGAGTAGTCCTGATCCCGTCGGCGGCAAGAGTTGGGTTCTTCGTCGGGTCGTCGGCGATAGTTGAGCACGAGAGGTCGTCGGGTCGTCGGCCACTGGGCTTTGTCGGGTCGGCTGCGGTCGGAGTGAGAGAGAGAATGGGATCAGCGAGACATCGTCGGCACTTAGTCGGGTCGGCGGCGAGAGCAAGAGAGGTGTAGGGTTTTGAGATCGGCTTTTGGGGGGAGAGGTTGTTATGGATTTGGGGATTTTAATGAAGTGAGAGAAAGAGAGAATGAGATTTCTTTTAAATAAATGAGCGGAGGATGAGAAACAGCTGTAGCGGAGGGATTTTTGCAAAAACATCCCTATCCCCCCAAAATGCGTACGCACCATTCCGCACTTGAAATGCACTATATATATATATATATATATATATATATATATGAGTGGATAGAAATTACACACACGAATATAACTATTTATATTATTATTATTTAAAATAGGATTTCAGTCTCCGTTATCAGAACACAACGAAATTTAACCTACAGCACTGTCTCGACATTCTAAGATCAATGTCATAAACCTCACATCCATATGATTAATAGAAAAATTATTAAAAATACAAATGCAGCAGATTTCAGCAGACTCGAGACACCGAGGCTGAAGCTGCGAATCGATCTCAAATCGATTCAAATATGATCCATTCATCCCAGAATGATCACAAATCATAACAAAACTCTATTATTATTATTTGCATAATATTTTCAAATTTTTGGGGTTTTACACCGGGTCACATGACTTTTCAATTTATGGGGCCTTAACACAATTTTTCCAAATGTTAAACAAACAAACAAATATATATATATATATATATATATATATATATGGTGAGGTTTTAATAAAAACCTCCTTAGCCTAAAAACTAAAAACGTATTTATTACACTCTAAATACCATTAAAGAGTGCAATAAATGCCATAATTATACTGAGTGCAATAAATAGGGGCAACAAACAACCAATGAATCCAGATTCACTGGATTGAATCCAGATTCAATCCAGCGAATCCAGTTTCACCTCACATAACTGAATCTGGATTCACTGCAGTGAATCGAGATTCGCTCCAGTGAATCGAGATTCGCTCCAGTGAATCTCGATTCGCTCCAGTGAATCTGGATTCGCTCCAGTGAATCTGGATTCGTTCCAGTGAATCTGGATTCACTCATATATAGGGTGAGGATTTCCAATTGAAAAAATTAAGACACGTATGAGTGAATCTCGATTCATTGCAGTGAATCCAGATTCAGTTATGTGAGGTGTTTGTTTTTTGAAGAACTAGTAAAGTGCACGTGCGTTGCACGTGGGTATACTTGTTCAGTATTAAAAATTTTAAATGTGAACCATAAAATGATGAAGTGAATCGATGATTTAGATATATTCATGTAATTAAGCTGGTTTAGATTTTACCAATATTCATTAAACCCACATAAAGAACGTAATAAGATATTTATGTGCTAGAATTCTTAGATAATTAGATTAGCTAATAACTGGAAGACCTTAACTTATAGGGTAAGGAGACAAAAAAAAGAACCAATTCATATCATGTTTCAAATTTAATTACCTTATCAAAGTCTATATTAATTATCATCGAACCAATTCATATCATGTTTCAAATTTAATTACCTTATCAAAGTCTATATTAATTATCATCATTTAAAGCTGAAACAAAATATACAGACATAGATTAATTACCTTATCAAAGTCTATATTAATTATCATCATTTAAAGCTGAAACAAAATATACAGACATAGAGGGTCAAATTTACTAAATAGCAGATACCCGACGTGGATTAATAGAGTAAAAAAATTATAACCCTATCTATGAACAAACTTATTATGTAAACACAATAGCAATATTAAAAGATGATCTAATATTAGAGATGGGAGACGCATCTTTGCTCAATTTACACTAAGGTTCAAGCTATTTAAGGAAATGCTAATTAATAAGAGCTTTCGCAAATAAATTTCTTAAACTTAAAACTAAAATTGACATGTTTGAATGATGGAGATATATCATGCGAAAGGACTTGTCACTTGTTAAAGTTTCGTGATAATTGCAAAAGAGACTGATTATGTCATTCATATGCATTTTATCAATCTCTAGTTCACAAGTTAGCATTAAATCATTGTGATAGCATTTCCATAGAAATCTCTTCCATCTTTAGTGTCATCCCAAGCACTTCGTTTCTTAGAAATAGAAGTCAAATGGTTGGAAGGAGAGGGAGAGAGAAATAAATGAAAAAAATTGTAACATACAAAATGAGTAATTAATTAGAAGGTAAAAAAGCCAAAGCTTTAGAAGATATCACTTTAGTAATTAGGGATTATTTATAATAAAAATATAGCATTTATTTTGGATGCATGTAAATATGCTGGTTGTAGTATTTATTTAATGTTTTTTTTCTGAAATCATGGTAAGAAAGCTTATTTTGTACTTTTAAAAGTTTATTTTGTACTTTTTATTTTTTTTTCTGAAATCATGGTAAGAAAGCTTATTTTGTACTTTTAAAAGTTTATTTTGTACTTTTTATTGTAACATCAAAATGATAATACAAAAGTTTATTTTGTACTTTTTATTGTAACATCAAAATGATAATACAATTTGCCTAATGTATTCCTAATCATGCCCCTATTTCATGATATTAACATCATAGATTTTTTTTTTTTGATACAATGTGTTTTCAAATTATACTGTGAAATACGTTTAGGGGGTTGAATTTTAAAAATATTTAATCTAATGAGATTTTAAAATACATTTGTTCATTTTAGTCTTTTTATAATACATTTTAAATTTTGAGTAATCCCAAATTTATTGTACCAATTTAAATTGTACCAAATTGTCTTATTTCTACAATAATCAAGTTTCAAAACATACATTTAGGGGGTTGAATTTTAAAAATATTTAATCTAATGAGATTTTAAAATACATTTGTTTATTTTAGTCTTTTTATAATACATTTTAAAATTTGAGTGATCCCAAATTGATTGTACCAATTTAAATTGTACCAAATTGTCTCATTTCTACAATAATCAAGTTTCAAAACATACGTTTAGGGGGTTGAATTTTAAAAATATTTAATCTAATGATATTTTAAAATACATTTGTTTATTTTAGTCTTTTTATAATACATTTTAAAATTTGAGTGATCCCAAATTGATTGTACCAATTTAAATTGTACCAATTTAAATTGTACCAAATTGTCTCATTTCTGTATTATGGTGAGTGGAAGAAAATGTATGAGCTAATTTACACTCAAGAGATGAAAGAGAAGTTATATAAAAATAAAAAGGGTTGTTTGTAGTTAATTGGTTCATAGTTTATGCATTGATTCAAATTGAATTTTAAAAGTCTAGACTCTACATCTTGTTATTATAATTATTTGATTAACTTTGTCTTATACTATTTTGTGACTGATTGAGAAGAAATTCATAGTCTTGAGTTGAAATTTTTGACTAATTATCAGTCGGTGCTCAAAAGACCCAAAGCAATAAAGAATAAAGTGCATCATTCTCTAATTTTACATTATATAGTTTCTACAAAACTCTGGTCCTCCCATGGTTTAAACTTTGATGTCCCTCCAATACAGTTGTTTCAACTTCTTGGAGAGAAGAGTTGCAAGCCCCCCGACATGCAACTAAGATAGACCAAAAAGTGAACATTGGCATTCCAAAATTCTAAATATAGACATAACCATTTGTATGTAGTATTAGATTATAAACTATTGATAATGATTTTATTCTTGACCAAATATTCTTAGGGAGAGTAGGAGGTGCATTTAATAAAGAGTTATGGATAATTATTTAAAGATTAATTATAATCAATGGTATAATTGCAAATTATCAAAATTTAAAAGGGTAAAATAGGAAATTAAAATTTTTGACATGGGTATTCTCTTTTATAAGTAGTATAGATAATGACATTTATTGCAGTGAATCCAGATTCAGTTATGTGAGGTGTTTGTTTTTTGAAGAATAATGGTATTTATTACACTCTTTAATGACAAACAAATTTATTGCACTCTTTAATAATGGTATTTATTGCCATTACTGAATCTGGATTCACTGCAGTATAAGCTCTAATCTCAACCATTGGATGAGATAGATCCAATGACCCACAATGGTTTTTAGTTTTTAGGCTAAGGAGGTTTTTATTAGAACCTCACCCTATATATATATAATCACTTTGCAATATTAGTTCTATTTCCATTTACTTTCCTATCTTAGAGCACTTTGAGATGATTACACAGTTTCAAGAGCTATTCTTTATTTCTTCTTCATTACTTAAAAAAAGAATTATTCTTTTAGTGTTGTACTAACTATTTTGGAAAAAATAGATCAATGGAAAGTTATCCTTCTTCAAATTAAATTACGTAGTGTTGACAGTGAGATAAATAGAAATTGTTTATTTCATAACAGCTCTGATGAAAGACTCTGTTCACCGTACTGATTTCTCCACTTTGTAAAGCAAGCTGACGAACAATTTTTTGCATCGAAGAAACGGAAACAATTCTTCACTAAATTCCTCTTGAGTTTAGTAGCTCTAATTTCATATACTGTCTCGCTATATAAACACCACAACTTAGTCGAGAATCATGATGAACGCATGTATCATTTTGAGATATTTCTTACATCTCTAGAATTACTCCTATATAGATTTTCTTAGACCTTCTGTTAAAGCCAAGCATACAACAACTATTTAAAAAAAAAATCAGAGGAAATTAAAATTTTGGAGTCTTTTTAGGACTGGACAACCATCTAGATTCTGCTGTCAAGTATGTTAGATGTGTTCTTCTGCCGATCTACATGACAACATTCACAACATATAACATTATTCAAAGCTCCACGTCCAGGGTTTTGAGCTTGCATCTGAAGTGTACTTCAGATTTTATTTTTTGTCCTTTTGGGTTTAGGAACCATAATAATTTCATAATCGGAGGCGTGCAGACAACAGCTTCCACACCAGAAATAGAGAGTTTTACATTAAAATAGAACTGTTCATGTCCAAGTGAAGTGCGAGGTGCGATTCCTTTCAGAATGCCCAACACCGTGCGTATGACGTTCTCATGCAAAGAGATATCAAGTATAAAGCCGTTTCAACATTTCACTGCCTCCTCGTATACCTCAGATTACACTACGTGACGTGGACTTTTGATAGAATTAGGACTCATCTGAGTGGACCTAAACTAAGAAATTTATAATGACATGAATACCTTGGGACGAAACAGATTCAACAATTGACCAGATAACCAGATATAAATTAAAATAGAGACAATAACTTTGATGAGACCAGATAACCAGATATAATTTCTGATGTTTTTGTGTGCCGTTTGTTTAATTTTGGAGTTGTGTGGGTGCCTATGTTTGTTGAATGTATTAATAAAAGTGTTGTTTATGTTTGAATAAAATTGTTGTTTATGTTTCAATAAAACCGATTGATAATGACTTCTCACTGCATAATAGTACAAAAGATACAATTACTACTCACTGCAAAAACAAACAAATGTTGAATTGACCTTTCACTGCAAAAAATACAAAGGATGAAATGACTACACCTGCATAATAATACAAAATATGAATTGACAACTCTCTGCACATGCATGCCCTATGACACATGTCTCTGATGTTGCATGCCCTACGACACATGTCTCTGATGTTGCATGTCCTATGACACATGTCTCTGTAATTGCATGTGAATTCAATTATTTGAACAACTACCCTTCATTATATAAACTGATCAGATGCACATCATAAGTATACCTATCAACATTTCAAAAATCATAGCATCCAATGGATCATTTCCTAAATGAGTTTAGTCTAGAAGAGTTCCAACAACAATGGGAAATAGAAGAAAAAATACTTGATAGGCAGCGAGAACTTCTTGAAGAATTGCAAAGGAGAAGCGAACAACCACGTAAGAGGAAATCCATACATAGAGATCATCATGCAGCGCATGAGAGACTCATGGCCGACTACTTTGCCGAGTCATGCACTTACACTGACGCCCAGTTCCGACGCAGGTATCGAATGAAAAGGCCTCTCTTTCTACGAATTGTGGACTCTATATCAAATTACGACGATTACTTCACACAATGGCGCAATAATGCGGGCAAGCTTGGGTTAACGCCTATCCAGAAGTGTACGGGTGCCATACGCATGCTCGCATATGGAGTCGCAGCCGATGCTTGTGATGAGTACGTCAAGATAGGAGAATCCACTGCTATCGAGTGTACTCGCAAGTTTTGCGAAGGGGTAATAGCATTGTTTCAAGATGAATACTTACGACGACCAAATGTGGAAGACTTGCAGAGGTTGCTCCAAGTTGGACAGGAACGTGGATTCCCAGGGATGATTGGAAGTATTGATTGCATGCACTGGCAGTGGAAAAATTGTCCTAAGGCTTGGCAAGGGCAGTTTACTAGTGGACACAAGGGGACGGCAACAGTTATCCTCGAGGCAGTTGCGTCATATAATTTGTGGATATGGCATGCTTTTTTAGGGCTTCCTGGTAGTTTGAATGACATAAATGTACTAGATAGGTCACCGGTTTTTGACGACATTGAGTCGGGTGAAGCTCCACGGGTAAACTTCACCGTGAATGGGCGGGAGTACAATCTTGCATACTATCTTGCCGACGGAATCTACCCTAAGTGGCCTGTCTTCGTGCAGTCAGTTCAAATGCCCCAAGGCAACAAACATCAATTTTTTGCCAAACAACAAGAATCATGCAGGAAGGACGTGGAACGCGCATTCGGGGTACTCTAAGCACGCTTCGCTATTGTCCGCCAACCAGCTAGAATGTGGGATCTTGATGTCTTAGGAAAAATAATGAGAGCGTGCATTATTTTTACATAACATGATAGTAGAGGATGAACGAGATACGTATTCGCGAAACTGGGAAAATATCGACTTTGAACCGTCGAACAATGCTAGCTCTAGCGCCTCTTTTAATGTTCAAACAGACGTGTTGCCGGAGTTTCAAGTCCATGTTCAACACCGATCTGAGGCAGATAATCAGACTAGAGCGGAACTACGAGATAAGACCCAACATATTCAGCTGAAGAAGGATCTCATCGAGCACATTTGGCAGAAGTTTGGGACAACCTCCGATTAGATTTAGCAATTTAGTGTGTGTTTTCTTTAATGTTTTCAATAATTTGGGTGTGTTTGGTTTTCCGTATGCTTAATAAAATCGTGTGTTATTTTATGTTAATTTAAAAATATTATTGAAAATTAAATTAATAATATATATTTAAATATTATATATTATTTATTGAATTATTAATAAATTATAATTATAAATATAAGAGTTATATTAATAATAATAATAATAAAATAGTAATATATATGAAATAGGAAAAATAATGAATAAATATGGTGCGGTATATGTTAAAGTGATGTGGTTATGGTGGGTCCCAAATAAAGTAAAACTTTCTGAAAAATCTCCTGCTGTAAAGTTGATAGGGAAATGAAGATTATTGAATTAAATAAAGTGATGTGGCAGAAGAGAAGGCGGTGAAATTTCACCTTCTGCTAGAGATGGTCTAACTTCGTATATGGGAAGGCAATGGCACACCACAAAGTAGGGTATTCATATACAATAATGTTCAGACATTCAGAGTCCAAAAGCAATGTACTTTAAATGCCTCGCCTAAAAAGATTGAGCAATTGTTTCCTCCTTTCAGAGCTCAATGTAAATGTGAACATTTCGTGCATAATACATCAACTGACACATTGAATTAGACATGATCACTGCTCTCTTTGGTAACAAATTGATAACATCCTCCAGTAAATCTACACGTAAGTCTCAAGGCACCCAAGATATCACTTGTCGGTAAACATAATATACATAATACATCAAATTGAATATCATTAGACAGAGAAAAGGGATAATATATGGAATAGATAATCAACAGACTGAAGTCTTAACAAAAATCGAGAGAAGTCCTGAATGCCTTTTCCATGAGTTTCTACAATAGCAAAGGCCTCACAAATAATCGGGATTTGAAAATCAAGCTAGCAGCTCATTCCTTCGGTTGATACCATAGTAAGAGCCAAAGCTGCAGCTTCAGGTCTCACTAAGGGAGAAGGCAAAAACATATATTGCCAAAGAAAGTCCCCACACGCTTATCTTGGATGGTTTCGCAAGTGAGGAGACAAAGGAATTCACTTAAGAGGTCTCATACCCTGCAGAGCACAAAATGAGTTAGATAATTATTTTTTATGACTTAATTGCACTTAATATACCCTACAGTTTCCCTACTTTGCACTTATAATACCTTCACTTGTTTATAAATTTGCACTTTAATACCCTCAGTTACGCAAACGTAAGTCTCTTGAAATTTCTCATGTAATACTCACATGCTAATTTTAGAACATTTAACTTGTTGTTCAACCTATCAGAAATCCTATTTTAAAATAGAATTAGGGTAGACTTAAGATGGAAATACGGTAGTTATACCAGTAATTTTAAAATTTTAGGGTATATGAGTGCAACCAATAAGAAAAGCAAATTTTAAAACTTTAGGATATATAAGCGCAACCAATAACAATTAATAAGTGAGAATACATAAGTGTAAAGTAGGGAAAACTATAGGCTATTTAAGTGCAGTTTAAGCCTTTTTTTATTGAAGTTTTTCACAAACAAGCACACACAACCACGAGATATTGGATAAGAGTTGTTAATCTCATTTAGGGGCTGTTTGGTTGGTTTTCTAAAAACCAAGAATAGGAAATTGGGTCATGGAAATCTCAAAAACATCAATTTCCTCCATTTCCATTCCTAAAACTCACCACAACATCAAATAAAATATTATTTTCATCTAACAACTCATCCACTTTATCCAATAAAATATTATTTTCATCCATCAACTCATCTCATATCATCTCCTAAAAAAACCAAACACAATAAATAGGTCACATCATCCAACTCATCTCATCTTTAAAAATCACTCACATCATCCAATAATATGGTGATAACTCATCTCATCTCATTAACATTTTATTTCCTCTCATTTCCTAAAAAAAACCAAGGAATTTGATTTTCTTAAGTGTGGATCACATCATCCAATAATATAATGACAACTCATCTCATCTAATCTCATCTCTTATTTTTAAGAATGAACCAAACACAAGACAAGAACCTATTATAGGAAATAGGTTTCTTATAATTCATTTCCTTATTTTTTTTTAACCAACCAAACAACCTAAAAATAAGTTTTCTTAAAAAATCACTCACATCATCCAATAATATGGTGACAACTCATCTCATCTCATCTCCTATTATATGATTTCCTTCTTTTTTAGCCAACCAAATAACCATAAAATAATTTTTTTAAGAAATAGGTTTCCTATTCTTTGATTTCCTTCTTTTTTTAGCCAAACAAACAGGCCCTTACCAAACTAAGGTTCAACGGTATGAGTAGCACGAAGGACATCATCACTAGTCTATTTCTAATATGAGCTACCACCTCATATCCATTTTTCATAGTGTATGTATGTGTCTGCACGTGATCATGTTTGTGCGCACGCACATGATATGCATACACATCAGTGAAGAAAAGGGCTTTTAGAACTTCCTTTGCAACTTGTGTCTACCAAACTTGGCAAGAGAAGAACAGAAGATTATTTGCTTGTAAGTCTTCTAATGGTGATTCAATTTTTAAAGTGATTCAGAAAGAGGTTTTTGTTAGAAGTTACGTCTGGGGTCACATAGCTTCCAGCTTCTAGTCTGAGTTTTCTTGGTTCATTTTTGCATTGTCATATGTAAACTGAGTTTCTTTTTGCTTTGTGACGTTCATTGTTGTCCACTCTGGGTTTTATCTTGTGCTTTTTTGCTATTGTACCAAAATTCATTGACTTACCAGAAAGAGCATATATATGATACATACACACACATTCATGCATATGCGTGTGCATGTAAGCGATTGAAGATTGTATATACACACAAGAAGATGGGTACGAGCGGGCAACTCATTGTGCTAATGAGTTATCAAGAGATAAGGACTCAGTGAAGCACACACTGTCCCACTCTTGAATGCTCATTTAGAAAATCGGAGTAGAACCTCATCACTTTTGGTAGTTCATTTAACAAAATGAGCTACCAACTCATACATAATAATAAACGTACACATAATAGACGCTTAACTGCGTCAATGAAGAAATATCTTATATACCAACAACTCAAAGGTTCAAAATATTTTAACATTGAAAGTCATGTTTTCCTTAGAAGGAAAATAAAACACCCTGGGTCTTATGGGGTGAGGCCTAAAACATATCCTGCAAGCAACAATTATGAGTCTGAGAAGAACATGTACTAGGTCTAAAACCTTGGACTTTAGTACTCAGGGTATTTGTAGTGGGTAAGAGGGTGTTTTATTTTAGTGGGTAAGAGGGTATTTGTAGGCTCAAGGCAAGGTTTTGACACATTTTGCATCTAATAAAACTTT